GTGGCGGAACGAAATTATAAACAAGCACATTACCTGTATGGCTAGAACATAAATGTGTATTTAAATAAACAATAAGATATAGAAGTAATGGCTACAACGATCAAAGTTAAATCTTTGATGCTTAAATAATTCATCTAAATTACTAAATATATATATATATATATATATATATATCATATTTATATATATCATATTGATATATAGTTATTAATTTGAACTGCCGATTTTTCGAACTTATAAACGCAATTAAACACTATAGTAATATCACGTATTAAATTAACAAGTAATTTTAATAATTTGATGCTCAATCAAGCACCTTATTAGAAAGATGTTGATGTGATGAAAAACTGTAAATAAATTTATTGCGGAAAATATTACCTTGGTCGGAATCGAGAGTCGGACCTATATTTCGTACGAGCGTTCTAAACCTTTAGGCTACCAAGGCCTTAGTAAAATAAGAAGTTTATAAGAATATTATAACTTTTTGCTCCAATAAAAACTCTACGAGATATTTGAAATTCGCGGACCACAGAAAGAAAGTTTTTAAAAAATTAAGTAAAAATGATATGTGTGAATTTTTATTTCAAGCAATAGTTTGACAATTTAAACTTTTATTATTTCATAAACTGCTTCTTAAAATAAATATTCTCAAATAACTTTTTGATTTAATTTTTTAAAAATATTCTTACTGCGATATTCACAAATTTCGGGACAACCTATATAGTCGAAGAGTATCATACAGGGATTTTCCATATGTCCTGGCTCGGCTGAACATCTCGGAAAGTATGCACTTTTGAGAAAAATGTTTCAGATAATGTTGCATTATATAAAGTAATGAATTTAGTGATGTTAGCAGTTTGATCTTGGGTAGTGTCGCTAAGGTCAGATCAAGGTTACATTGATTTTCTTTAACGGAATATCTTACTTTGATTCCAGAATCTAATAGCCATTGTCGAGAGCTTTTCAAAACAATAAAATTACGTTTTAATGAGTATTTTTCGAGTTACGATGCTTGAAAGTATACCGTACTTGCAGTATCACCGGCATTAGCATTACTCAAGATGTCCTGACAGCTAAAACCTCTTGAATGTTGTTTATTATGTCTTGAATCATGTCCTGGATAATATTTGTCAAGATCAAGGCCATTAGAGAGATTATACCTTTTATTTTCATTTTTACGTAAAAATAAATTTTTAGTGCAAAAATGAAAATAAGAGGCATACCCTCTAATAGCCTTGTTGTTGACAAATATTATCCAGAACATGCTAAAGAACAACATTCAAGAGGTTTTAATCGTCAGTCGGTTACATTGTGCAATGCTAATGCCAGCGGTATGTACTGTAATTTTCAATCCTCATAATTCGAAAAATATTTAATGAAAAATAACTTTATTGTAATGTTTTGAAAAGTTCTTAATACCAGCTATTAGATTCTGGAATCAAAAGTAGGATGTTCCATTAAAAATACATCGAAATAACCTGATCTTGATGACACCATTCAAGATCAAACTGCTAACATCATTAAATACATCGTTGCAACATTTGTCTGAAACATTTTTCTCAAAATCGCATACTTTCCGAGATATTCAGTTGATTCGGGATATATGGGACATCCTGTATTATAATATATGTATTTATTCTTTGATACAATTTTCTTTCAACACATTATACTTATTCTTATGTACTCGTTATTCCTCATATTTTTATAGTTACAATAATATAAATCATAAAACTGATCGTACCGGTATTGACTGCGGACATCATACGCACTAGCAATTAAAGCGTTTACGGTAAAATCAACAGGCACTATATTCGCCTTGTAAGTGCCATTACAGCGATGAAATCTTATGATACCGAGTAGCAAACTTCTTGCGAAATCTGATGGCCCATACATATTGTCGATCCAACCAATAAGTGGTTCACTGGCACTAGATATAACTAAAACGAATCTTAATTATTCCTCTGCGTAGACGCACGAATATTTATATTAAATGTATGCAAACATGCACGCACTTCACGGTTGTTTAGAGTTATTTTAAAATTAAACTTTCACATTATACAGAGTGTGTTCTAAGTACGCTAAAAGACTTTAAGCGATGATTCCTCACACAAAAAGGAATTGACTTTGAGGAAGGAAAACCTCAAAATAAAAATTCCATATGATCATATCTTGTAACAGTTTGATTTCAAAGGTATATGATATCAAAATAACAAAAAGATGTTTTTTCTTAAAATCTTTCGGGTTATTTTAATGTATATTATTTAATATTATATGAATTATATATCTTTATATGTGTTTAAAGGACATGAAGCCGATTATCTTTTGAGGTTATACATTTTTTTTCATTCAATCAGAAGCAGACACAAAGATAAAGCGGATAATGCTTTTTTTCATGAAAAAATTGATATGCCATTGATTTCTTTTTGTTCAAAATTTTTTTATGATAAATAGGATATCATCAGGAAAGCATTCGGGAAATTCACAGAAAAATGTATCTGTAATATTTTCGATAGAATAAGTCATTTCTGAGATCAATATCAAATAAATCGTAATAAAATCATAATCAAATAAAATGATTTTTGGAGTCTACACATTTGAATTTATTTTTTTCCTCGGAATGATTATTCTATTGAAAATATCTAAGGAACCTTTTTTTGTTCATTTATCCCAATTATCTTAAAAAAATGTTAAACTTAAAAAAAATCAATGACGTATTAATTTTTTTCAGAATAAAAGCATACCCACTTATCCTTGAGTCCGGCTTTGATTGAATAAAAAAATAATGTACAGCTCGAAATGATAAGGCTTCTATTAAACATACGAAAATTTTTTAAAACAATCTGAATTTTTGAAATTGATGGAATTTTTTTCATGTTTGATTATATATTTTTGAAACTAAGCCATTATAGACACTCAGTCATATAAAATTTTCGTCTTGAATTTGTGTGAGGAATCATCTCTTGAAATCTTTTAGCATATTTAAGACACACCACATAGATGTGCCATACTATGTGTTGTAAACTAATTGTACAAACCGGTGGCAAATAGTTACACTGTATATAATTTATACAGAAATGGAATTTAAATTCTTTTTGGAATGTAAACTCTTCGCTAAAAAAATCTAGTTTTTATAATTAATTATATTGTTACCCATTGCAGGTCGAAATATTCCAAATTGACTTCCATCTTCGCTTTTAAATAGTCCTTCTGAAATTGCCTTCGTGAATGTGTATGTATTCGGCCATTGTGAGGAGAATCTGTTAAAAAATGATAGCTTCCTATATTTATGTTATATAATATATTTATGTTATATAATATATTTAATTATACTTTATTATTTTTGGAGTAGAAGAATTACTTAGAAATTTTCTCCTCGAATATATTTTCGGGTAAGTTCCGTGCGAATGTGATAAGATGTTTATGATTAATGGGATACGAATATATACGTTCTTCAATATGTTTTACATGACAATTTGAGTATATTGTTGACACATAAATAAATGACTGAAATAAATGTTAAATTTAATTTATGTTTCTTTCTTAAAATAAGTAAAAACTTTATGACACATATTAATTATATATACATGTATATGATATATATTATATACATATATTAATTATATATTAATAATTTTTGTTAATTACTATTGTTAAAACATATTGTTAGATCAGTTACCTTCAAATGATGAGACATGTCTTGTGCAAGTTTTATGATGGTAGCAGTAGCATCAATGTTTACTATTGTAGAAATTTTGAGATTTTCGTAGAATTGCATATCCGCTGCTATATGAAATATTACGTTTACCTAATAATAATAATCGTTACACATTATTTTAAGTATAACAGAAATATAGAAAAAAAGAGAGAATTTATTTCTTTGTTGATAGTTATCCCGAATATTATCCCAGATAGCACAGAGTTGAAAAAAAATTCAATGATATGTCATCAATTCTGAATTCATTTTCAGATGCAAAATGAATTCTTTTTCTGAATTCTTTTTTCTAAAAAAAATTCTTGTCAAAAAATGAACTTTATTATATGTTTTCAAGAGGTCTTTCTTGCAATAATTAACGAGATATTTATTTCTAAAGATCGAATAAGCACATATTCGGCCGACCATTTCACCAAATGCACGAGTTATTAATTATTAAAAATTACCATATTAACCCAGCTTACCGCCTAATAATGCAAGCGTACAGCGAGATGTAGCACAATGATCGAGGTTACTGAACACCTTATTAATAGTAAACAACTTGTCGCATACGTAGTTACCTCGATCGCTGGGCGATTACCTGACATCTCGCCATGCGCTTGCATTTAGCAATAAGTTACGCTAATACAACGATGTTTAATAATTAATAATTCGTTAACTATTACAAAATTTGAAAAGAGCTTTTCGACTGAGTTTAGTTCGCTCTATTTACATATGAAAATTGTCCTAAATATTTTAGGATAATGTATATAACATGTTATATACATTATAAACTTGTATATAACATGTTATATACATTATAAATCTTGTATATAATGTGTTATATGTATATAGTATAAGCTTTTTTAGATATACATTAATTTTTTACGTTAAAATATAATGTATACAGACGAGAGAGTAACAAGTGCAATTTTAATTACCTTTTTTATTAGCATGTTTCTATCACTTTCTGACAATCCGAAATCTTTGATATTGAAATCTCCTATGATTGGTATGATTTTTTTGTGAAAATAAGGTACTTCTTTTTTTATTCGGTCATAAAGCTGTGGATATATAGATTTATATAACAATGGTTCACAAATATATTATGTTTTGATATAGTCAGTGTGTTACTAACTGGATCTTCAAGCATTTCGTCCAATAGATTTTCAGGGCTTTTATCTTTTTGCGAATGTATCATCACATATATCATAGAAATATCAGGGCAGCTTCGTGACAGTTTCTCTATCAACATTTTTCCAAGAAAGCCTGTACCTCCTACCAAACAAAATATAAACAAATTAGAAAAATAATATACATACTAATGTGACCAAAAAGTAAAGTAGGGGCTGATGCAATAAAACCAAGATTGTTACTTCGAAAAAGTAAGGCATTACCGTTACTTGAAAAGGAACCATTTGTTACTTTTTTTTTATAATGCTGAAATAAGTTATTAGATTTTAAAATTACATTAACTGATAATTTAATATCAAATGTGAAATAAATGTTCAAACTTGAAACTCTCTACTAACTATAGTATATAAGATAAGGTTTTCTCTATATTAAACTTACTTATCAATTTTATTAATTCTTTATTTATTAATATCGTTATTTTAATGTATTCATATAAGAATTTAGATTAAACAGATGATAGATTAAATATCGTTTTTAAACGTTAATTCCTGAAAAACGTTTCCTGGTGGAAATAAATCGATGAAATCTTTAACAATAGACTCATTTCAGTATAATTTATGAAAATGAAATGAAATGAATCAATTGATAGAGATTTCAACAATTTTCAATGATTTCAGCGATTTATTTCTACCAGGATTACTATTATTTGTATTTCAATATTTATTATATCTTGAAAACTAACGTGGTTATAATTTTAAAACATATAAAAAGAAGAGCATAAAAAATCACAGCACAAGTTATAGTTTGTGATATTTAATTATTATTACTTTAATTAAAACATTAAATTAAAAATAAACATTTCGGTCACAATCTGGCCATCTTCAATAATTCAATAATATTCTTAAAACGCAGAGTTACATCTAGTTGACATTAAATTCAATAGTTGGGTGTTGTAATTAAATACAGATGTTCTTTTCTATGTGAAAATACAATAATGTTACAACGCCAGTTGTCATATCAAGAAAAGTGTAGAACAAGAATTTCCAGATTCTAATTTAAATAAAATTGTATATCATTAATATCTTCTAGTCGGAATATAAAGAAATAGAATCGTTACCTGTTTTACAACAAAAAAACTAAACGATGAATCTCAAGTACCTCTTTTGCACAATTAGAATTTTGTCGTGACATTATGTGTTGTTATTAGTCATATCATGTATTTTATCACTATTTATATATCTGAGTCAACAGTTTAGAAAGTTCTAGAATTATTTATTAAAAGAAAGAGAGATCCTTCTTAAGAAGAGGAAGATAAACATCAGGCAAACCTTCCGTGTCACTTTGCTTATTGATACCTCTTGTTTGTCTTTTTATATGTATCATTTCCGAAATTCTTCTTTTCATTAACGATTGTTCTGTATCTAAAATTCTTATATTATCCCAATCTAATTCATGCATCTCATTGTTGAAAATATGAACTTTAAAGGATAACCATTACTTAGAAACGTGTGAATTAATTCAGAGATGTTTTTTTCATGAAATTTAGGATGGGATAAAAATAGAA